AGTTCCCATACCCTCAATCGAGGCTCCTAAAATTCTTCCCTAATTATTACTGTGTCTGACTGGTTGGCAATAGCGCCATACTAGTGCGGATTTAGTGACAAAACTCAATAGTTCATATACAGTTTTTTACTAAAGTTAGCGACAAAACCCAATAGTCCATATACAGTTTTTTAAACAAATCTTCCTATTTCATTTTCCCCCCAACTGTTACCCTTTTCCTTGATCCATAATTCTTCCCGAATTTTCAATATCTCGAAATTATGCCCGTACCCTTTGAACATCCATTTGGAAAATATTTATTTTTGATATTAATACCAGTTTTTGTAGAAATAGGCTTAATCAGTCACACTTTATAAGATTCAGTCTTTAATGTTAACCACTTGGTAAATTAAACCAGATTTTGTAAAAAAACGACTATCATAGTTAGTTTGTAGTTCATTAATATGTCTACATAAAATATTGTGGCTTGAAAAACCTTCAGTGGAAATTATACATTTTTACACAATTTATAAGTTTATAGAATAACAGCCTCCTAGTGGCACAGCGGCAAGTCTACGGACTTATAACGCTAGAAACCGCGTTTCGACACAAGGTGGGCACAGCACAGAATGCCCATTTTGTGGCTTGGAGCTTAATTACAAAAAAACAAAAGCGGAATATATTTTTTTTAATATTGTAAGATACTAAAGCTTGTTGCCTAAACTGCGAATCCAATCATTCATGGGTTGAATCTTGTTGCCGCAAAAACTAGCTCCGTATTTTGGAGCTGTTAATGCGCTATAAGAGTGACAGTCAAATCCCTCTATTCAGTCACATAAGGGATGGCGATAAATGCTGTTGTTTTTTCTCTAGTCTATCGGTTCAAAATTAGCATGAGTGGATGAAAATCAAATTCAAAAGAAATGAAATACACAACCTGACTTTAGGTGATGTTATTGTGGTTTGTATTAAAAGCCGGGTTATCCTTTATTTATCAGATTTTTCTGAAATTTAACTTTTAACAGACACAAGAGTTTTTGCTAATATTGAGATTTTTTTTTATTCAAATTCTTTTTCTATGGTTTAAATTTTGCTGAGCTTTAGCCTAACTTTTGTCGCTTTGTTTTGTTTCTCATTTTAAATTTGGGCTCATTTTTATTTTGTAACTTTGTTTCAGTTCAACTTGAAGTTGACATACACACTGAAAACGTGTGAAAGAGGGCTCACGCAATTGCTGATAGCGCTTCATACGAGATGTGAATTCTGCACTCCTCAAAATATCTAATCTATCTTTGCTTTCTAAAATGCAAACTCGCGCTCCCTCTTGGTTGGCGCTCTGTGCGGGCGCACTGCTCGCACTACCCCTGGTATGGCCCTAGGGTTTCATTTCCCTCTTATTTTTTACCAATCCAACATAATCACTACAAACCCACTTACATCTGTTTTATTTTTATGTATGGTGTTAGTAACTGTGTTTTTGATTTAGTTGTGTGTTATTAAAGATTATAGTGCACCTTCCATGTTTTGTCTTCCCAACGAATTCAGTCAGTTTGTTTGTTTGTAATGAAGCACAAAGCTACACAGTGGGCTATCTGTGCTCTGCCCACCACGGGTATCGAAATCCGGATTCTAGCGTTGTTAGTCCGCTGACATACCTCTGTGCCACTGGAGAGCGAACTCAGTCAGGGTTTGAAGAAATAATCAGATGCACAATCTGTAACTTGGAGTCCTTTGAACCTCCAATTAGTGGGCCCTAACTGACTACTGGTTTCAATGGTTTAAGTGACATTAAACTGTCTCATATAGTTTTAACGTATTGTATTCTACTTGCTTATCTGATATATAGTGTATGTATTTTTAACATGGAATGCTAGTCAACGAAGTACTTAAATTCCTTTTACCCTAGTTACCTGAGTTATTCACCTAGGGTATCACATGCAAAATATTTCTGTAAAATTGAGTAGTATGAAAGTGGGCAGTGATCTTTTCCACTGGCGGGTCAAGTGAGACCTTGAGAACATAGCTTCCCTTGTTTTTCAATGGGAATGACCAACAGCGACCTGGGTAGCACATGTGTCCCGAGAAAAATTGCATTAGTGCTTCACGTAATCAATTCAGTGTATTTTCAGTCTGGAACAAAGCTTCAGAGATTTGGAACGATTCACTTCTTCACTGAGAGCTCTCAAACCTCCAGTCAAGGCGCCATTAACACACTCGTTTTGTCTTTTCGTTGTATTTGAGAGATATACAGATTTATTCATATAATCCTTGGTTTTCGGTCTCTTTCTTTACCCACAATTCCGTCAAAAGCCAGAGAACTCGGATTTCCTCTCGTAAAATATTTCCTGCCGAACTTCCTGTTATTAACTAAGGGAAATCAGTGCACCCGAGAATACCACAGGTTCATATGACATTAAACAGTTCTATATTTCTAATACATCATGTTTTTTGTTTGTTTTTTTCGTGTTTATCTTACAGACCCAACATCATCAGGATTAACCTCACAGAAAATTGATAAGTAAAAGAATTTTACCCAACGATATAACAAAGAGTGTAATTTTCTACGTATGTGTACATTGACTGTAAGTTACTAACGGATTTTCTGAAGAACAGTAGGGATATACATGTATGTATAGAAAGTTAAAAAAAAAACTATTGTAAGAGCGACTTGCCTAATACGGTCATTCCAATAATAAAAATATACACATCGAGAAGAACGTATTCAAGAAATAAAACATTTATTATACAAACTATATTCTGCTTTTTTTAAAAATTTTCTCCTTTCAAGTGTTAACAAATACCTTTTATAAATATAAATATCTTTCTGTAATAAGTATCGCCTGATTATAATTTCACATTTACAGAACTCTTCATTTCATTAGTTATATATCCTAACTATACTGACACACTAGTAACATTTCTTCACAATACAGTAAATTAAACTGTTTAGTTGAAAAACAAATATATATATATATATATAGATAAATGCAAATTCAAAGTATCGCACTATCCAATATATACCTATATTGTGCATAGATCAGAAATAGTTGTTTTTTTAATGTGTTCAGTATTCTAATAGGTTTCGTATATGAAATTTTTCAGTATCTTTGGATGTTCAGTTGTCATCTGAGGCAAATATTTAAATATACATATTTAATAGTATTAATATAATCCTTTGTTTTTCTTAACATCGATGCACGCAAAGAGTATAATCAGCTGTCAAGAGGGGGTATGAATAATAGTAAAAGTAATTTCACGAGAGTTTTTGCTGCCTTTATGGATTACCATAATCTAACAAAGACCGATTATATAACCACTAAATATAAAGAGCTATTAATCCACTTCCAAGACAGGTTTGTTTCTTTGTTTGTAATTAAGCACAAAGCTACACAATGGGCTATCTGTGCTCTGCCCACCACGGGTATCGAAACCCGGATTCTAGCGTTGTAAGTTCGCAGACATACCGCTGTGCCACTGGGGGGCTCCAAGACAGGAGCGACACTGCTGTGGTATAAATAGCTTCCGTTTTCTTAAGATTTCTTGAGAGAAAATATAATATATATTAATCACTTTACTCTTTTTATCTTTGTTTTGAACAAGCCTCCTCACGAGCCAGTGGGGGACATCTTTGTTGAAAAAACACACTGCCCTACCCCGTTTTTTTTAATCTGGACTGACATTTTTTTGGACATGTTTATTGGTTAGAAATAAAGTATTTCCCGCACTCTTTTAGCGTTGTGGCTGCGAAAAGCGATTTGAAGTGGTAAAGTGACTGAAATCCGTCAGCGCATCACAAGCTTAACGGCCAATCACAAGAAGCATAGAAGTCTGCAAATGACAAGCAGAGGTATTCAGGAACCGTTTGTAACCACCTTGGTAGATATTGTGCAGCAAGCCGAGTGCAATATTATGCCTGTAGCTGCTTTCAAAGTGTTCCTGTCTGCTCATCCTACTGCTGACTATCGTGATGAATCGACCTTCCCTACCGAATCGCAGGTGAAATCTTTCGTATCTCAATTAAAAGCTAAACATAAAAAAGGTGATAGCAGAAGCGTAAAAGGTTGGAAATTGCTTAATTAATAATGCTGAGAATGTGGCTTTATTGATATATACTGAATTTACTCCCAGTGGGTAGACCTTAATACTAGCTAGTATGGAGACTTGAGGATGCTGTATTTCGCTTTAAAGTTTATCAATTAACAAATGAAAACTTGTCTCGAAAAGATACGTCCACCCCCCACCCCCTCTTTGGGAGTTTCCGTACTGAACTTACTTTTAATATTCAACAAATTGTAGTGTAAAGACACCCCTCGGCTCCTGATGGACGTGTTAAACATTGTGCAATATACTAGATTTTTATATTTCTGTAGTTGCACTGACTTCCCAAGTGCTTATAAGGTGTCTTTCAGGTTGAAAAATATAATTTCTTAATGTTGAATTCATTAGCGCTTAAATGGTAAGAACATATTTAAAAAGTTCAGTTGCATATCCAGCCATAAGCTGTTAAAATGTCAGTGTTTGCTGCTGACAATATTTACCTCAAAATCAAAACTTATACCTCTCACCCAGATTTCAAAGTAATAGCGCCAACTTGTCACAAAGTTCTGTGAGGTACAATTTAAAGGGTCAAAAATTATTGTTATGTTGTCACAAGAAAATATTAGGTGTCCTTAGGGAAGGTTTTTAGAACTGAGCAACAGACACTTAGTCTTAGTTGTTCTTTTTATGTAATCTAATTATTAAGAGTATAATTGTCACTGTAGCACTGAGATAGGATAGTGTCGTTGAAGACAAATCACTTCATTCTTAAGTCAGCGTTAACGAAGAAAAGGATTCGTTAGGGCCATGTCCTCTAGCATCTTCAATTATCAGAAAATCGTAGCATCATTTCATAAGAAGGAGACGAATGGTCTGCTCAGAACCCTCGACTTAGAACCAGGTTGTTGAATGTAACTGTCAGTGTTGATGAGAGATGAATAACCCTCAACCTAAAACAAGGTTGTGGACTGTAACTGTTAGTGTTGATGGGAGATGAATATGCTACTCAGAACCCTCGACCTTGAACCAAGTTATGGAATGTGACAGTCAGTGTTGATGAGGAAGACAGACATGTTGCACGATGTAAGGGACATGAATATTTACTGACACAATGAGCAAAATTTCTGTCACATTCACAAAGTTGGGCAGCACATTCACTGGCCATGGAGTAGCTGTCGTCTCCTGAAATTAAAGCAAAAGGAATGATTTTGACAATAAAACAGGTTAGACAAAAATATATAAGATAGACGTATTACAACTTTACTATTTATAAAGTCGTTATAATTATAAATGTGATAGTTCGAGTTGTTAAAACCTACCTTATTAGCAACTGCCATAAGGTTACCTTTTAGGTCAGTTGATCACACTCGTCAAGCATTCAAGAAGTCTCACTCAGGAAATATGGGTTACCATGGAATATAAGTACCAAGGAGCACATACGGAGTTAACCTTTAACTCAGTTGATAGAATAGTCGCTTAGGGTGTGAGAGGACCCAGGTTCGACACCAAGCCGAGGGCCATGGGAAAATAGAAAATTTAGTAACCAGTTAAGGTCCTAGGATGGATTTTGCTTGTTGGAGAAAAGGAGTTTGGTATTTTGAGGTTATTAAAATTCACCCTACTAGGAAAGAAACAGTTACTATGAGGTTAAATCTCTATCTTAACACTCTTTTAGCCTGCGAAAGTCGCAGATGCAAAAGGATTATTAAAGGGATTTCTACAGAAGGATACAACCTAACTGTATACAATTAGAATTTATAATCCAAGGATCAGTACTTTAATTCTAACATTTTTTTTTCATAAAGCCCAGGATAAAGTAAGATAAAGACTGATTTATTTACTGAAGTAGTAAAACGAGACTGTGCTAACAAACAAAAGGAATACTTACTACAACGAGCGTAACCGGGGACAACGCACTGAAATTGGTAAGAAACAAAATAGACCAAAAGTTGAGGGCAAGCGGAATAGGCGTAGCACCAATCATGTTCCAAACAACACCTACATAAAAAATATATCATGATGTGCAAGTTGTGAATATCACCTACGAAAATATGTGTTAACACATTCAGTAAATACCACTATAAACGAATTATATAAGTTTTATATAGATGTGGGTGTATATTTGAAGATCATCACTTAAAAAAAAAGAGCTTTGTTTCTTGTTATAGCAACGCTACATTAGGTTATCTGCTGTGTCAATCGCGGGGAATCGATTCCCGAATTTTAGCGTTGTAAGTCCGTAAACTTACCCCTGTCCCACCAGGGGACATACACACACGAAACAACAAAACAAACAAACAGAAAATTCATATTTCAAGAGTTACTGATACGAACAACCTGCCTAGTGAGCTTATTGTTAGCTAAATCACCGTCCCACCAAGCATGCTCACCCTTTCAGCCGTGAGAGAATTTTAATGTGACGGTCAATCCCACTATCCATTGATAAAAGAGTAGCCCAAGAGTTGACAGTGGGTGGTGATGACTAGCTGCCTTCCCTCTAGCACAAACCTTGCTACACCAACAATATATATATCATTTTAATGTAAAATTGAGTTTTATCTATTTTGAAAACAATACATAAACCAAATGTACTTCCTTTCGCAGGATCTCCGAAAGTGTCCTATTTCAAGAATAAATAAAACTAAAATTAAAAATAACAAATATTTTTATTCTTTGCTCTTCAAGTTCATGTGTCATACTGTGTTGTAGCCCACAGAGCGCATAATTCTTCTCGTGATTCATGGCACGAGCACGTTTTACTGACGTCACGACAGTACAAATTGCAACGTTAAAAGCGTCCCTTGTGTGACGTCATTTTAGTGTCTACTGACTGACTGATAGACAACACACTACTGTATAGTGGTGCG